TGAATGGATAAAAAATTGTGAGATATATACACAATGGACTATTACTCAGCAATAAATGAGAATAAAATCATGGCATTTGCAGGTAAATAGATAGTGTTAGAGAAGATACTGCTAAGTGAAATTAGCCAATCCCCCAAAAACAAATGCGGAATGTTTTTATTTGCTTTCTTATAACATTAAAATTTGAGAGATTCTCAAGGATCTTTTTTCTTTTGTAGTCCACTAAGTTGTCAGGAAAGACCTTTCACTATCCGTCATTAACTCTGATATTCTGTACACTTAAGAATCTTGACTCAGAGGAAAACAGAAAATAACAAAAGAAGTTAAGAAAAGTTTACTTACTACTCTGTATCCCCAAATCAGCCATTCTTATAAAGTAAAATTACTACTGGCATGCCCTGAAACACATCGATCTCTATGTCCCATTTCACAATATTGTACACGCCTTTTAGCCAATAATCAGGTTACATTTTTAAAGTTAAATTTTAGTGCTTTGCTATTGTCTTCATTGTAGCCAGAGTACTAAAATCACTTAAGGAATAAATGTAAACCAAAGTTGACTGTAGTTTATGCAACACTCATGGTAACCATTTCTCAAAGTTCAAAATGAGCCTCAGTTTTTTTTTTTTTTTTGAAAAATAAATCTAATTTAAAACTTTAAATTTTGATTTAATGGTACAATCTTGATTTTTTAAATATGATTTATTAAAAGTTTGCTGGATTTTTGTTGAACTGCTTCCGACATACAGTATTTAAGGGTTTCTCATGTCTTTCCTGTCATTCTTAATTAATATGTGTACTTCAGTTAAATCAATTACATATAAGGTGGATGATGGTATTATATCAATTACCAATTAATTCATTGGTTCCCAAATTCAACACTCATTTATTACATGACAATGGATATGGTTTAATTGAGCTTATAAATATAAATGTTTGAAATATGTAATATGTGAGACATTTGAGCTAATGATTCACTTTCCTCATAAGAGCACTGCTTTCAAGTTCTCCTAATATATATGTAAGAACTGGGTGAGCAAATCCTGTAAACTACTGTGCTTGGACAAGGCAGTAGGACTCCCCAAATTCCCTCACTGAGAAACCTTGCGTTCTTGATTTTACTACTACCCAACATTGCTACAAAAAATAAAAACTAGTATATCCACTAAACAAATCCCACTGTTGAGAGTTTTTTTTTTTTTAATTTCATTTTGTTATTAAGGCCTCATGTATGCTAAGCATGTGCTCTACCACTGAGCTGCATTCCCAGTCCCTATTTTATTTTATAATCATATAATTATACTCTGAACATAACATTGGTTCTAATATATTTATTTTTAAATGTATTAAGTTTTCTAAGTCTTTAGATTGAGTTAAAATGTAATTTTCTTCCCAAGACATAAGAATTAAAAATCTTTACTAGAATTTTATAAATATATTAATGATTTCAAAGAGTCAAAAGTTCTTAATGTTTATATAATTCTATTCTGTGCACATTGGAGAACAAATTCAAAACAAACTTTATTCAACATTACTAGTATAGAGTAGTCAAAATCCTTGGCAGTAGTGGCACTGGGTGTCATACTCCTGTAATCCCATCAATTCAGGAGGTTGAAGCAGGAGGATCCTAAGTTCAAAGTCAACCTTGGCAAGTTGGCAAGGCCCTGAGTAACTTAGTGAGACCCTGTCTCAAAGTAAAATACAAAAAAGGGCTGGGGATATGGTTTAGTGCTTAAGGGCCCCTGGGTTCAATCCTGATAACAAAATAATTATGATGATGATGATGATGATGATAATTCTTTGAAGTGTCTTTTTTGTGAAGACTAACTCATGGTAAGCTTTGTGAAAATGAGTCGCCAGGGGTAGTAGTTCTTATGTTCCTCTACTCTTAAATAACACTTCACATGCATGCTGCTCACCCCTAATCCTTTATTATAAAATATCTATATTATATTTATTATATTTATTATATTTATTATATTTATTATAAAATATCTATAAAATAGACTGCATGGTGCACTCCTGTAATCCCAGCAGTTCAGGAGGCTGAAGCCCAAGGACTGCAAGTTCAAATGTATCCTCGGCAAAAGTGAGGCGCTAAACAACTCAGTGAGACCCTGTCTCTAAATAAAATACAAAATAGAGCTGGGGTTGTGGCCCAGTAGTGGAGTGACCCTGAGTTCAATCTCTGGTAGCATGAATAAATACATAAATAAATAAATATGTTCACATATTTATATTATATATTAAAATCATTTATTTCTAAACTTATTCCATTGAATTCAATTGAAATAACCATTAATTGAGTTTTTAAGTAGTTTTCAAGGTATTTTTCAAATATAATTCAAAAAGTAGCACAGTTCAAACTTTTTTTAAGGAGCTACTTTTAAAATAATGTCAGTTTTGTATAACAGTCACTCTCAAGAAGTACGGTAAAGATTATTTACAGTGTTAATTATGCTGAGGCATCACAAAGTTTTTTTTTTTTATTTCTAAAGGACATAATTATAATTTTATGGAGAAAAAGCACTAAAAATAACACTTCCATTAAACTGTTACTATAAGATGCAGTTCAGATTCCTTGTGTCTTCATAACTGAGTACATAAATCTGTGTTAAGATATAAATTCTTACGCAGTACACATAAAGGTAGATTCATGTAGCAGTTTTGTTTCAAGCAATGTCTTTTAATCATGTGCTTTCAGACAAAAATAAACTAATAAATAAATCACATCCATAAAGATACAGACCAAAAAAAAAAATTGAGTTAATGATTTCCCAAAAGGGAAAGAATATGTAAACAGCAGTAAGGTGGAGAGTCTAAATAAGGATTCTATGTTAGGCACTGAGTTATGACTTCAGAAGCATGCTGTCAGCCTACATTTCATCATGTTAATAATGAGCAACAGGTGGCTAAAGGGGAAATATAATGATAACACTTATCTTCTCCATGCCTTCCAGAAGTCATCTTTATAAAAATGTAATTATCTTATTAAAATAGCTATTCTAAACTTAAGTTTTGCAAAAAAAAATCTTTATTATATTTCTATATATTGCATATACTCCAAAACAAATATTTGCTTAAAATATTTCAGTAAATCCTTTATTTAAACATATACACGATTTTGATTTCCCCCTGAGATTATAGAAGAATGTCTGAAAATACAAGACTAATGAAAATATTCTAGCTTTGTAGAAGTTGAATGCATTTATTCTAGAATTTTTAGTTCCACAGTAGGCAACTCAGCTTGCCATAAGAGTTTAAATCAAACACATTCACAAACTGTCCAAATATAGGCTGCTCATTCTCACTGATTCAATAAAGCAATTTTACTTAAAACAGAGGACACTAAGATACTC